GGCTGAACAGCCTCCGACGAGGGTTTAGGGTTTAGGGTTTAGGGTTTAGGGTTTAGGGTTTACTTGGAAGTGGTTGAGCAGCAGCTCGACGAACTTTTGCTTCAAAGGGGGGGGGGTTAGGGGCCCCTCCAGCAGCAGCAAAGGCCGGCTGGAAAGGCTGCGAGCAGCACAAGCCCGAAGTGCAGCATAAAGGAAAGCAGCAGCAGCATGACTGAGTTCTGCTTCTTCCGGCAGGCTCAGCAGCCTCACGCTGCTGCTGCTGCTGCTGCTGCTGCTGCTGCTGCTGCTGCTGCTGCTGCTGGGGGGGGGGAGGCTCCGGCTGGGCAGCGCGGCGAGCGGGCGCCGGCTGCTGGCCTTGCGCAGCAGCTCCGACGCTGCTGCTGCTGCTGCTGCTGCTGCTGCTGCTGGGGGCTTCCGGGCTGCTGCGGGGCTTGCTGCTGCTGCTGCTGCTGCTGCGGGGGGAGCAGCAGGCAGCAGCGGCAGCTTGTGGGGCCCCTGTGTGGGGAGGAAGGGGGCCTGCAGCAGCAAGTGAGGTGTATGTACACCTGCGAGCCCCAGCCGCACAAACCTGCTGCCCAACTGCAGCACGAGCGGCAGCGAGTTCAGCAGCCTTTGCTGCTCGTCAGTGTCTTCCAAAAACCCTTCGTAGGGGTCCATTGCGAGGGTTTAGGGTTTAGGGTTTAGGGTTTAGGGTTTAGGGTTTGGGGTTTGCGGCTGCGGCCCGCGCCCTGCGCCGCAGGCGCCGCCTCTGGCCGCAGCTGCAGCCAGCTGGGGGCTGCTTGCTTCCAGACACTCATGTGCTGCTGCTGCTGCTGCTGCTGCTGCTGCTGCAGCAGCAGCTGCTGCTGCTGCTGCAGCTGCTGCTGCTGCTGCTGCTGCGCGTCAGAGGCCTCGACACAACGAGCAAAAGAATGCATCAAAAACGCCCTTCTCAAAGAGACGCTGGGCTGCGCCCTAGGGTTTAGGGTTTAGGGTTTAGGGTTTAGGGTTTAGCGTGAGTAGGCGCCCAGCCAGTCTCCAGCTGCTGCTGCCTGTAGTCCGGCAACCACGCCAACAGAAACACACAAAAATTTAGGGTTTAGGGTTTAAAATTTACTAGTTAGAAATTAGGGTTTAGGGTTTAGGGTTTAGGGTTTGGTCGCCAAAGGCAGGCCCAGCTGGGGGCCTCGTGGGGCCCCCGGTTGACCCAGCTGCTCGCTGTCTGCAGCTGGCCCAAACCCTAAACCCTTGACCCCAACCCTCAAACCCTAAACCCTAAACCCTAAACCCTAAACCCTAAACCCTAAACCCTTTGTGTTTTTTTCGCCGTCTCACTATGGACTCGTTCCTTACAGCGCAATCAGTTCTCCTGGGCAGCAGCTGGAAGCCCTGGGGTTTAGGGTTTAGGGTTTAGGGCTTAGCCTCTAGGGTTTAGGGTTTAGGGTTTAGGGTTTCGAACAGAGCCAGTAGAAATTGGGCCTTCGGGCCTGAAGTTGCGGTCAACGGGCTTGCCGTTTCCACTATCTTTCAAGGTTTCAGGGTTTAGGGTTTAGGGTTTAGGGTTTAGGGCTTATGGTTCAAGATTGACGGTCTAGGGTTTAGGATTTAGGCCTTTGGGTTCTGGGAATGGATATCCGGGGTAAGGGACTGTTGTACGCAGCAAAGGGTTTAGAATGTAGGGTTTAGGGTTTAGGGTTTAGGGTTTAGGGTTTAGGGTTTAGGGTTTAGGCCTCAGGGTTCAGGTTTGACAATTAGATGCTTTATAGACAAGAAAATAAGCGCGTTAGGGTTTAGATTTGAACGCAGGGTTAGGGTTTCGATTCCTGGGTTTACGGTTTAGGGTTAGGGTTTAGGGTTTAGGGTTTAGGGTTTTGGCTGTAGAGTTTAGGGTTTAGGTATAAGGATTTAAGGTTTATGGTTTAGGGTTTAGGGCCCCGGCAATTAAATAAAAGAATAAATAGAGAAATAAGGAATCAATCAATTAATTAATTTCAAAACAAATAAAAGGAAATAAGAAATAAATAAATAAATAAATAAATAAATAAATAAATAAATAAATAAATAAATAAATAAATAAATAATTAATTAATTAATTAATTAATTAAACAAACAAGTAATAAATAAAAATGAAATGATGCAGGAGGCCCTACCCCTTCAATTTAAATTAAATTTCTTTTTTTCAAGAGAAAAACAAAAATATAAGAAAGAAATTAAAATAAAAATAAAATTAAAAAAATTAAAATAAAATAAAAGTAAAATTAAATTAAATTAAAATTAAAATAAATTAAAGATAAAATTACAAAAAGACAAGTCTGCAGTGGCTTTCAAGTGTACGTACACTCCAACGTGCAGCAAGGGGCTCCAAGCGCAGCAGCAGCAGCAGCAGCAACAGCAGCAACAGCAGCAGCAGCAGCAACAGCAGCAGCAGATGCAACAAATGCAGCTAGAGCAACAGCAGCAGCAGCATCAACAGCAGCAGCAGCAGCAGCAGCAGCAGGCTGTGGGGCCACCGGAAGCAGCA